AGAGCGAATGTTCCACTTCTTCATCACAGTAACGGCAGCTATGCTGGCTCTGCCGTTCCTCTAATGCATTTGGTTTGCTCCTACCTGGGATTCTTCTCATGCGCTGTGCCCTCTATCTAGAATGTTGTCTCAAAGCTCCTTGCACAGCTTCTTACCCTCTTCCTGACCTGTACCCAAATGCTGCCTCCAAGGAGACGCCTGAGATGCGCCTTCCAGCACCCACTTGCTTTTTGGACCTTGCTTCGTGGCTTCTGACCAGAAATGGCAGTCCATGTTAGTCTGGGCCTCCCACCTCCCTGCCAGCCAGTGAGCACCCACATGCTGGAACTGTCTCAGCCCCACCAACTTCTGTGGGCCTAGCCCTCATGAGGTACTCAACAAACAGTGCTGACTGATGGGCTGTACCATCCTGAATAAATCAGCTGGCCCCACAGAACTTATGTGTGTGAGTATGTGCGTGTGTGTGTGAGTGTGTGTGCATGTGAGTGTGTGTATGGTGTGTGTGTGCATGTGTGTGAGTGTGCACGCGCATGCAGGGGCTTCCCAAGTGGTGCTCAAGAGGTCAGGGGACTGTCCAGGCTGGTAGTTTGCTGCAAGGGCTAGAGGCAACAGTACTACTCAGGCCCTCAGCTGTCAGGGATTTCCTGGGCCACCCCAGCGGTGTTTATGGGGTTGATGGTACACATGGCATGTCTTATACCTTCTCTGTGTCCCTTCCCCGGGGCCTTCCCCAATAAGGGACCCCCTCTGGTTGTTTCGGAATCTTCAGGATTGCTGGGCTGTGTGAAGCTGTGAAAGACAGTGCTGAGTGTCACCCTACCGGGTGGTCCACACCAACCTTCAGCCTTTCTCTGCCTCTCCTGGTGAGGAGGCACTATGGAGGGGTGTGTGTGTTTGGGGGGGGTGTCTTTGTTCTGCAGAAGTGCTGTGGTGAGGTCACTGCGGGACACCCCAAGGACATGGTAGTTACAAGGAGATCCGGTAGATGCCTTCCTGGCCACTAGGTGGGTGAGGCGGTGGGTTCCCTTTCCAGTAGAAAGGAGGAGTCATGCAGGTCTCGGGTCTCACGTGACAGGATTTGAGGGCCCCTCAGCTGCGTCTGATGGGATCTGCAGAGGGGATTACTGATGAGGGGAGGTGAGGCAGCTCTTACAGTAACACATGCCTCGCTCTGGGACAGCGGCCAGGCAGCTAATTAGAGAGCCCAGCAGCTGTCCAGCCTTGCAGGCAGCGATCTGCAGCTCCCCAGAGCTGGGGGTGGGGAGGGAGGGAACGAGGCTTGGGGCCAGAGCCCACACGCCAAAGTAGAGGGGATGTGGTGAGAGTTTGTAGGGAGCAGGACATGTTGAGGGGTGTGCCAGGCAGGATGGGGGGAGGGGAAGGCAGGGTGGGAGGGAGGAGGGTGACAGGACGTGGTGAGGGTGGGGGGCAGCCCGCAGACAAGACAGGGTGGCGGGAGGGCTGGCAGGCAGGGGGATCCAGATCCAAGTCCTGAGCAAGACAGAGTGGAGAGCCAAGTGAGGGGGGACCCACCCCAGCTTCACCCACCTTCCCTGTGCCAGTTAGGCCCCAGCCCTGTTGACCTCGGGGGTTGGGGGTTGCTGAGGGCTGGGGAGAGCCCCCTTTGACACTGAGGTTTGGGAAGTACCCAAACCCACTGTGCTCCGGTAGGTTTTACTACTTACTGGACACATAGAACGTTTGCTCTGGGTTCAATTGGGCCCCTCCCCCAGACTTAGCAGGCTCTTGAGGTAACGAGGAGATCTGGGAAGTTTTGGGGAAGAGGAGGGTGGGAGAGAAAAAGGAAGGGCGTTTGTCTGTCACTTCCTGGCTCAAGGGCTGGGCCTTGGAGACAGGCACAGGGCGGAGGGGGTTGGATTTGGTTTTTAGGTTCCGGTCAGAGAAGCAGAGATTCCAGCCTGCAAGCCCAGCTTACCCTAAATAGTTATCAGAGAGGAGAGAGGATAAGGCAGAGGGAATTTCCTGCCAGCAGCTGCCGCTTCAACCTCTTTGGGAACACAGCCCTACGTGCATGAAAACTGGATGTGCCTTTCAAGAGTTTCAGCACTGAGAAAATAACAGAATGGGCGTTGTTCTGCTCTGGCTTGAACCTGCGCTTAAGCCTGGCCCACGCGGGAGCCTGGGTGGTTTCCCAGGACGCCTGGGCTGCTCTGTCCCAGCCCAGCCCCCCATGTACAAGAGAGGAACAACATGCCTTCTGTATTGCCCACCCCTCAGGCACCTCACCTTAAAGGCCAGGGGATGATTCCTAAAGGGGAGAGGGAGCAGAAAGGGGAGTGAGCACCCCTTCTTCCTTCTCTCCAGGCAGAGACGGCCCTGGCTATTGTCAACCAGGGTTTCTGTGCTTGGCAGGAGCGAGTTCTTCCGTGACTGTGACCTCAAACTTAAGAGACCCTCCAACCATCCCCGCGTTTGATTAATGACATGGGATGGTGCAGCCGGCCAAGTATTTAGCTGTTCATCCAACAAAAATTCCCTGGTCTCAAGGGCTTCATCATGAGGCAAAGGAGCAAGCACATCATTCATTGTAATCATTCATTGTAAGTGGGACACCATGCTTCAGTAGAAGGGCTATGCCGAGTCCCCTTGAAAGTAAGTGGAAACTGGGTGGAGGGGTGTTGAAAGGAAGGGTCTCAGATGAGAGGGTGGCATGGTGGGCTGCAGAGGAGGCCAGGGGGAAGGACAGAGCTTAGAATTGAGTGGTGGTCCCTCAGTTAAACAGGTCCCCCAAATAAACTGCTTGTTTGTGCTTCCAGGAGCACCATTCTGTGAGTGGACAAGGTCAGCTCTGCTTATAGATGAGCAGGTCAACGAATGGACTAAAGAGAAATCTACCCAAACAAGAGGTAGTAGAGAGGTAGAGAGGGTAAAGCACTTACCCCACCCCGTTCGATCCCTGGGGACCACATATGGTCCCCTGAGCACAGAGCCAAAAGTAAGTCCCGGACACTGCCGTGTGAGGCCCAACATCACTCCCTCAAAGAATGGGCTGAGAAGATAGTTCAAAGGGCAGAAGGGCATGTCTTGTAAGGGTAAGGCTCTGAATTCAGCCTCCCGCAGTGCCTAGTCCCTGAGAACTGCTGGGGTGCCCCTGGTGAGCCCAGCACAACCAGTCCTAGCTCCTATCAGGCTCACTGGGAGGACTGTTGGGAGTGATCTCTGGGCTCCTTTGTGGAAGTGTGGGGGGGGGAGGGGGAGGGCAGGAAAACATAATCATCTTGGGGGAACTGTGAAAAAGCCAGCACAAGTGTGAGCACTTCTCGTGTCAGTTGCTGGAGAGTTTTTCACAGACTCGTTTGCTCCAAAAATGTTGTGTGCAAAAGTGCGGCTGGTTCCTGTGTGCTTAGACATGCTCTCAGGGGCCAGGCGGTGTCAGGGCTGGGGCAGCTTGAGCCCTGGAATCAAGTGGGGTCATCTGGTCATCTGCTGGTTCAGCCCCGCAGTGCCCTTCCATCAGGAAGCGGGGGTGGTGGTGGGGGGTGTGGAGGCGGGGCAGTGCCCTGGGAAGGAGCAGGTTCTCAACCACCTCACTTCCATCTGCCCTCCACCAGCCAGCACGGGGCTCCGGCTTGAGAGTAAGTAGACCTACCACAGACCTCCCTGGCAGGATGTGGGCTTTGGTTTCGGTTTCTGTTTTGGTTCTGTCTTTTGCTACTGATGTGCCTGCTTGGCTCCCCGGAACAACCCAGTCGCAGGGTCTCGGTGGTGGTGTGGGGATCTTGAGGGTGTTGGACATGCCCTGTGAACATCCTGCCCTCGGGGGGAAAGACCCAGGCCGGGGTGAGTCCTGCCCAGGTGAGAGGTATGTACAGGCTGACCCCTGCCCGGAGGAGAGGGAGAAGCGGGCAGCACTGCCAGGTCCTGTCTGGGGGAGAGCTGAGGAGGGAGACAGGCACGGGGACCAGCGTAGCTGCCACTCGCTGCATCTGCACCATCTGCCCCTCACTGTTCTCAAGGCACAGGCTGCAGACAGACCCCGAGGGATCTGATCTTCCAGCCTAGAGCTCATAGGTGCCCACAGCGAATTTCAGGCTCCTGACCCCCTGCCCTTTCTGTTTCCCTGGCCCTGCTGCTGCCTCGCCCACTGAGGGAGCTGGGCGCCCTGGTGCGGGAGCAGGGAGGAAGGAGGCCTCAAGCACGAGCTGGACATGGTGCTTGGTAGTCTCTCTGCTTGGCTCTTTCCAGGGAAAGGGGTCAGCTCCCACCCCCCCAATCACACTTTTCTGGGATTTGTTCCTTGGGCTCAAGCAGATGGGGCTCTTCTCAGGGATTTTCAGGGAAGTTCGGCACCTTCATATTAGGACAAAAACTATCAAGAATCCCCACCAAATGGTAGGGCTTAGGGATGTATCTATCTGTCCACAAGGGCATTACAAAGTCAGATTTCTGCTGACTTGTCTTTAGTTATCACGGATCCTAGGAAGGGCCTGACCCGTCACAGTGAAGTAAACACTAAGGGAGTGGAATTGGGGGACAAGGGTTTGAGCGCACACTTTTTGCTGGTTTGCTGTATTTTCTCTGGAGTTGTGCTCAACTCCCCAAATGCTCAAACCAGCGCATCCTGCATTCTCTGCCTTCTGAGAGGTTCTTGGCTGTCCTTGAGAACAGATGTACCCAGGGCAGGGTGAAGGTGAGCGCGTCATTTGAACCTAATGAGAATGGAGCTGGATGCTAAAATTATCTCCCCTCTCGGATTTCCGAGTGTGCACACAGTCACTCGTGGCGCAGGAGAAGCCCTGAGTCGGAGTCTCACGTGTGCGTTGCCTGGGATCGATCCCAGCCTCTCATCATTGGGTCAACCAGAGCTGAACAAACAGATGCTGAGACGAGGCAACAGTGGCTGGAGCCTGGAGCCTGGGGTGGTGCCTCCCGCCTGCAGCTCTGGCTCGCTGGGAAGCCCCGAGCCAGTGGGGTTTGGGGTTGGGAGCAAGGTGAGGGTGGTGGTTCAAGCTCATTGATGCCTCCTCTTTTCTTCCTAGGGACACACAGAAGGAGCCCACCTACTAGCCTGGGATCAGTTGAGCCCTGGAGCTGATCCTTGCCCACAGCACTGAGAATGGCACCGAGGCACAGCCAGACACCCAGACGAAGGTTAGCCAGGGACATTCCGGGACTGTGACCCTGATGTCTATTCAGAGCTGCGCACTCCAGGGTGTGACAAGTGAGTTGTGTTGTGGGTTCCCTTGGTCTTGCCAGCCCTGCCCGCCCTGGCGGCCCAGAAGCTGGTTTGGAGGGGACAGTTGTTATCCTGTTTCCTGTCCGAGAGTCCATCACAGGGTGACAATTCTCTATGGGAGGGGAAAGCCCAGCAGTGTCAGGCCATGTCACATGCCAGAGCCATCTGAGAGCAGCATGGTCTCTAAGTGCTGGCCAGACTGACCGGCTGGCTCGCCAACTTGGGTTAGACAGTCCCGCACCTGGGTGATAGCATTTCCCTAAGTCTGTGGAGGGCAGCTTGAGGCTGCTGTGGGCCTGGGCCTCTGCAGGGCAGCTGTGCCTTTCCGGGGACTTGGCTCTGTCCAGACACCGTGTGTGGTTCTTGTGGCTTCGGGGAGAGTCCCCAGGGCACTGGGATGGGAGGGATTTGTAGTGCACGGCTGTCATAAAAATGACCTCTCGTGGGTTAAGAGGAGTGGGTGGTCTTGTGTTCTCCCCATATTTCCATGGCTGCTCCTCAGTCTAGACAACGCCTCATTTGTGGGGCTGGAAGATGCCCCCCACTGTGGTCTTGCCTGTCCTCACGTGGTCTTTCTAGCCCAGGTCTCTGATTTCTCCTTGATAATGCTTCTAAAAAATGACAGTTGGATGCTTCCCCAAATCCCAGAGGCCTGTCTGGCCTGCACTCTAGTCTGTCTGTGTAGGCAGACAGTCCAGCTGTGGGATCAGGCACCAGCAGGCAGAGAGCATCTCTGAAGGCAGAACCGAGCTTGTGCTTCTACAGGGATGGCCAAAGAGGCTATAAGGAGCTGCTGAGCAGGGCCCTGTAGCCAAGAACCTAGAGCCCTAGAGTCTAAGTATTTCTTCTTTAGGGAGATCTTGATTCTAATGACAGTTAGAAATGTAAGATTCAGAGCTAGAATCTATGTTTATTTCAGACTGGGCTTGAAAAGTCAGTGACTGGGCAGAGCTGGAGCAGCAGTACAGTAGGCAAGGTGCTTGCCTTGCATGAATGTCAATCTTGGACCCAGTATAGCTCCCTGAGGCCTACCAGATGTGATCCCTGAGCACAGAGCCTAAAAGATGCCCTGAGTATCTCAGGGTGTGCCAAAAAGTCAAGGAGTATCTTTGGCAGTGTGGCTCAAGAGACAGAGCAAATACTTTGCATATGTGAAGACCTGGGTTCTCCCCCTGGCACTGAATGTTCCCATTGCCCCCAATCCATGCACCATTATGCTTCTCCCTAAAATTCAGGCTGTGGTTGAAAGGGTGTTAAGGAAGAGTGCTTTTAAGTGGCTTTGTAGCTGGTGAGACAGGCTGATCAGCAGAAGTGAGATGGAGGTGGAGAGCACCCTGAAGTCCTCGGTGGGAAGGCTGTGGTTCTTCAGAGCAAATCCTCACATAGCAGAATGCCCAGAGCAGTTGCTATCATCAGCCCTGAAATGAGGGTGTCTTCTGTCCAGAGATCCCACTCTGGAAATGGCTAATTTTTTTTCAAATATGTGATTAGGGAATAGTACCAAACAAGAAAAGGGCTGGATTCTTTGTGACAGGCTCAGACTGTGTCTCATGTGGTCATGCTATAAGTGGGAATGGGAAACAGCTATTCTCACTGTGTAAAGCATCTACGTTGAGCAAATTATACTTTCCTCTTGATGGAATATGAGGCAGCCATTGTAATCAAACATGGATGATATAACAATTTGAAAATTATGATGATACCATAAGTGAAAATGTCCACATAGATAATAAGTGAATTTAATAACTTGTAAAATAAACAAGGGGGTGTGGGGGAGGTAGCACAGTGGAAAGGATCACAGTTGTGAGTTTAGCAGGACTGGGAATAATTTTTCTTTCTATGATGAATGGATTTGCTTTGGAGGGCATTGGGGTCACTCCTAGCAGTGCTCAGGGATTACTCCTGGCTCTGTCTTCAGGGATTACTCCTAGTGGTGTTCTGGGAACTACACTTGGTGCCAGGGATCAAATCAGGATCAGCAATGTGCAACTGTGATGCCTTGATATTATCTTTTTACCAGGGCACCTGATAAAAAGCCCCTGGACTCACTTTTTGAAGTGTAAATTTAATTTTGGTGAATATGCTGCATATCATTAAAAGCAACTTTCTCTACAATGTTTCAATGATGGAGCACTTTTGTAAGTCATTCTAAAATGTTTAGAATTTAGCTATGAGCCATTTTTTTTGAGTAATTGGAAAATAATAGATACATAAAATTGCTATAATGAGACTACTTTGGAGAAATCTACCTGGCAATGCTCTGGAGCTCAGCATCACTCAGGATGCTTAGGGAATCAAGCAGTGCTGGGAATCAAACTGGGCCTCCCACAGGCAAAAGCATGTGCTCCAATCCTCTGAGCCATTGCTCTGGCTGCCAGAATAAAAGTTTCATAAAAATTGTCTGTTTCTCTAGAATGAAGAGAAAGGCTGGGCCCAGCTGCTGTTCACACTGCCCTCATCTGCATGTTTAAGAAGCCTGGGAACATCCAGGCCACATTGCACAGGTGTTAGTGATCCTAGTAGCAGGCATCATTCTGGGTACTGGGCCCCCTGGCAGAGGCCCTGCCTTCAGGACACTCATAGGTGGCCCAGACAATGAGCAAGTAGAGAATATCAGAGAAGGGAAGTGCTACAATGACAATGAAACAGGATGGTGTGAGCGGAGGAAGCCTTTTGGAGCGAAGGTCAGGGTAGGTCTCAGGGGGTCCAACTGAACTGAGGCCTGACTGGCAGTAGTAAGGCCGCAGGTGAGGTATGGGAAGAGCCTCGCAGGCAGCATGCAGGATGCCCGGGCACAGGGTGCTCTTTCCTGTGAAACCTCTGTGCCAGGTGGTCTCCATTACCCAAGCCTGCTTGTCCCCAGACTCCGCAAGCTGGGATTTGCTTAGCGCCTGAGGCTTGGGGCAGTCTCCCCACCGGTCACCTGTATGGCTGGTTACTCCTGACCTTCTGGCTGTGACTGTGGCTGAGGTAGGCACAGGGCTTCCCTGGGCAGCCTACATGCTGGCCATGACTTCTGGCTGGCATTTCCGTGGCAGGGACGGGCCATCTGAAATTCCAGTAGCACTGGGGGTAGGCTGGCAGCCAGGGTGGCTCTGGACAGGGTATGTCCTGAGGAGACCCAGAGTGGTGGCTGCTGCCACGGCCCTCAGTTGGTCAGCTTTGACATTCTATGTCCTTCACGTGGACCCTGCCAGAGCTTGACCTCAGAACAGAACCTCAGTGGTCTTACAACAGAGACTGACCACCTCCTGTGGCTCTGACACCCAGTTTGGTGCTTCATGGTTTGGCCACATAGAAGCTCATGACCTTCTCGTGCCCTGGAGTCTTTCCAATTTCCACCGGAGCTTCCAGAAGTAGAACACACAGGATGGCCGTTACCTCAGAGAGCCTGCGGGGCAGGGCAGTGTACTGACCGGGGAAAGGAACTTAGTGGGCTGGAAGGGTTCAAACCCCACCTGACACTGCCTTTTACAGCTATATGAACATAGGCTAGTTAGTTTCTTTTTTTGCCTCAATTTCCTCATCTAAAAAGTGGCATTTGAGGGTATCTAAAAATGCTGGAGAGGGTGGCTGATGATGATGGTGGTAGTGGTGTGACTGTGACTTGGGAGATAGAAGAAGGACCAGTAGTGTCAGGGCCGGAGAGATAGTATAGCAGGTAGGGAACTTGCCTTGCACAAGGCTAACCTGGGTTTGATTTAGGCACCCTTGTGGTTCACTGGGCACCTCCACAAGTTTGCCATGAGCCCAGAGCCAGGAGTAAGTTGTAAGCATAGCCAGGTATGGCAACAAAACAGACTGGTAATGTCACTGATCCCAGGGGGCATTCCTGGGCAATGTCCTCCTCCAGAGAGGTGGCATCTACCCAAGCCAGTAACCACAGGGCTTTCCCCTGCTCGCTTCCCACCAGGGTCTGAGGAATGCCCAGGTGTTTCTCACTAACATGATCACCACAGCAGAAGTTTCTGAGTTTGCTTTGTGTACCTGGATATCAGGTCAACTACCTGACTCTCTGAGTTTCCACTCCCCCTGCCCCAGCACAGAACCTGCCAGCTATGGGACTCAGGGTCCCTCAAGCTACCTCTCACCTCTCCCCACTCACCTTGTCTTAAGGAGCCTCCAAGAGGTCACTGAGTTTCCCCAGATCACAGCACCAAAGGAGTGAAATTTGGAGAGTAAGTGGAGAGGAAGAGGAAGGTCTGCCCAGACTAGAAGGAGAATCCCGATTTTCTAGAAAGGTGTTTCTAGTTGGCCCCAAGTGCCCAGACTCACAGTGTTGTGGCAGATTAGCTTCCTGGAACAAGATGGGAGTTCTTGGCAAAATTGAGGGCAATCCTCCCGTCTGGTTCAGCCTTCAGCCTGTCTTAGGCTTTTCAGTATTCCCTTTACTCCTGGCAACTGTCTGCTTTTGCTCTGCCTCACTCAGGGTTATTTGTGAGGGCAGATTCTCCCAGGAAATGGGGCCTGGAAGCCAGCCCCTGCCTCCCCCGGCCTCCTGAGCCTCGGAGGGGCAGTGCCCTGCCCTGCCATGCACCTCTGCAGGAACGCGGTGTTCCCAGGGCTTTCATCACCATGGCCAAGGGCTCTTGAACGTGAGTGTTGTTTCCCCACAACCCACTTTTGAAACCACCCACCGCACTCCACGCTCTTTCCTCCTGCTTTTAGCTGTGCCGCGTGCTCCTGAGAGGCCTTCCCACCCGAACCTGCTTTCCTGGGCCCGCTGTCTTTGTGTCGTGGAACTCAGGAGGGTTGTGCTGGTCACCAGGACAAAGAGGTCGCGTGCAGGGCGCTGCTGGTTCTTCCCGATCCCAGGGCACAGCAAGGAGGTACTAAAAGGGTCTGGGGCAAAAGGGCTGGCGTGGGAAGACTATCAGGCCTGGGGGGAAGTGGGGATTTGTGGTGGGGGGAAGGGGGCTGCAGTGTGGGGTCGGAGTTATAGTACAGCGGGTAGGGTGTTTGCCATACACACGGCCAACCCAGGTTTGATCCCCGGCACCTCATATGGTCTCTCGAGCACTGGCAGGAGTGATTCCTAAGTGTAGAGCCAAGAATCACTGGGTGTGACACAGAATCAAAAAAGCAAACAAAAAAGCCAGAGTTTCAGCCCACCCTCTATGATGATTAGAAATAGGTCTGTAGAGTGGAGTATCCCCAAATACACCCAAGTTAACACCTGCCTCTAATATGCACCCTTGTGTCTGAGATGCCAGCCCAGGGGATGGCACTGTACCCTGCCCTGGCTTCATGCCCTCATCTCCTGGCCTCAGCTAGGCCCTCCAGGTGCCCAGGTTGTTTGTGTTTTGGGCCACACCTGGCAGTGCTAAAAAAGAAGAAGAAGAAGAAGTAAGCACAGCTTACTTCTTCTTTTTTAAAAAAAATTTTATTAGTGAAACACCATGAGGTACAGTTGTAGACGTGCACATTTTTGTGCTTGGGTTTCAGTTATACAATGATTGAGTACCCATCCCTCCACCCATGCCCATTCTCCACCTCCAATGCTCCCAGTATCCCTCCCACACTCCCCCACACCCCCATCCCACCCCACCCCTGTGGCAGGGCATTCCCTTTTGTTTTCTCTCTCCTTTTGGGTGCTGGCTCACAGCTTACTTCTGACTCTGTGCTCAGGAGTGACTCTTGGCAGTGCTGGGGCCCATCCGCAGTGCTGGAGGTGTGCATGGGTCTTCCCTATGTGTCAACCAGTTGAATTCCTTCACCTCCACTATGACCCTTTCTCACTCTGTAAGCTTTTCCCTAGCACCGGGGACGGAAAACTCCTCCCACACAGCCCTAAGGGCCTGCTGATGAAATAGGTGTGAGCCTGGAACATGGGCTCTTTCGTGGCTGGTCCTGGGCAGGCTGGCCTGGGAGCTGCGCTGTTTCTCAGACCTCAGTGGGAAGCTGCAGGCTCAGGCCGACTCCCCGCTATGGTGTACCCACCGATTATCTGTGTGGGAGACGGTCTGCATAGGGATTCTTGTTCTTGGCTACTGGGCTGACACTCGGGGTGGAGATGAAGACCTGACCTGCTTGACCAGTAAGGCTGCCCAGCCAGGAGCACGGGCAGGGGCAGATGACCCTGCCTAAGGTAAGAGGGGGAGAGGGGTCCTCAAAGTGGGAGAAGTCCCCAGGATCTTGGCCTTGTGCCCCAGGTGAGAGCCAGCCCCCCCAGGCTTTGGCTGTATTCTGAGGAGTAGGATTCCACGAGCTCCTCTGTCTTCACCAGGACCCGCAGACTGTGACTGGGCTTATAGTCACTGCCTGAGTGGGGCAGCAGAAACGGAGGCACCGAGAGGCCAGGTAACATTAATGGTGGGGGGTAGTGGGGGATGTCAGCTAGGATGGAGTTTCCTGGGTCAAATCTGAAGTCATGGTTTAAGAGGGAAGAACTGCGCTTATTTGATAGGATTTGAGGGTCCTAGGTTCATGTGCTCTGAAAGTTTCTTGAGCATCTTCTAGAGACAAGATGCAAAGATGATTAATTCTTTTTTTGGTGGGGGCGGGGACATACATTTAGGTGTCAAGGGGCTACTCCCCGACCAGTGCTTGTGGGTCACTCCCAGCAATGCTCAGGGGACCAGGTGGTTCTAGGGATCAAACCTGGACCTGGTGGCTGGAGCGGTAGCACAGAGGGTAGGGTGTTTGCCTTGCACGCGGCCAATGTGGGTCCGATTCCAAGCATCCCATATGATCCTCTGAGTACCACCATGGGTAATTCCTGAATGCAGAGCCAGGAGTCACCCCTGTGCATCACCAGGTGTGACACTATCCTACTGTTGTTCATCGATTTGCTTCAGTGGGCCCAGTAATGTCTCCATTGTGAGACTTGTTACTGTGTTTGGCATATCGAATAAGTCACAGGTAGCTTGCCAGGCTCTGCCATGCAGGCGAAATACTCGCAGTAGCTTGCTGGGCTCTCCAAAAGGGGTGGAGGAATCGAACTCGGGCCAGCCAGGCCAGCCGCGTGCAAGGCAAACACCCTACCACTGTACTATCACTCTAGCCCGTTAATGGCAGTAAGTCATTATAATTACCACAATGTTATTCAAGTACAAAATAAAATTTAATGCAATATACTTTAAATTCCAGAGTTGAAAACTCGGGTGTGACACAAAAGAAAAAAAACCTGGATCTTCTGCATGCAGAATATGTGTCATAGTTCACTGAACCATTTCCCCAGCCAATTAAATCATTTTTAAGATAATTTTTTTGAAAATAATTTTTGAACTGGGAACACTAGTGCCAGGAAATGTACACTGGTGGAGGGAGGAGTGTCTGAACACTGTACAACTGAAACCTAATCTTGAACAGCTTTGTAAGGGTCTATCTCACAGTGATTCACTAAAAGAAATTTTTGGACCAGAGGGATAGCTTAACCAGAGGAGCACATGCTTTACATAGGGGAGACCCGGGCTCAGTCCCCAGCACTATATGGTCCTCTGAGCACTGCTGGGAATGAACACCACTGGGCATTGCCCAAAAGCAAAAAGAAGTTTATCATTTTTAAGGCAAAAGCTATATGTGCTTATTTGAAAAACATTTAGATCACACACAAAAAAGTGTGATACAAATAGGAGATAGAAACAACTTATGATGTCACTGGAATTTTTGGAGATGATTGTAGCTGGATGTGGGGTATACTGACATAAATGTATGCCTTTGCAAAATCCAGATCATAGTAAATATTCAGCTTTGAGTCCTACACTTTTGACATTGTACTAAGCAGACATTCATCAAGTGACCACTAGTGCTTGCTCACCTTTGGATGGGCCCTGGCCAAGTGCTAAGTGTCAATGGCTCAGCAGTGTGCTAGGGACAGAGGTGGAAGGAGTGTGTAGATGCTCTGGCCATGGATATTTCGGAAAGGTCTTCAGAGAGGAGGAGGCGGACCTTGAAGGTAAGAGATAGATTCATAGACCGTGGCTTGGGGAAGAGGGTGGGTGTAGCAGTTGGGAAGGACACCCCAGGTAGCAAAAAATAGCAATAGAGTCTGGAGGACAGGATCTGAGGCAGAGGTAGGTCAGGAAGGGCTTTGCCAGCCATCCCTAGGGGATTGAGGCTTACTCTGTAGATATTAAAGATCCGCTAATGGGCTCTAAGTGGGGAGAAACATCGGATTTGTCTTTTATAAAGATTGCTGTTTCTGCACACTCTTCTGTAGTGTGATGAGTGTAGAGAATTCACTCCTCCATTGGAAGGGACCAAGGCAAGGAGGCTACCAGAGTTGTGCAGGAGAGAGATGGTGATTTGAAGCAGAGCAATGAGAAAGAGGAATAAAGAGGAGGGGATGATTAGAATAAAAAGGATGGAGCTGGAAATGTGGCTTAAAGGGCAGCACACATGCCTTTCATGTGTGCAGCCCTGTATTTGATCCCTGGCATGATATGGTCCCCTTAGGAGTGCTTGTGGTGGCTCTGATGACTCCCAGTAGCAACAGCAAACAAGAGTAGAAAGGGTGAGTGTTAATGGCCATCTTTGCTTTGCCATGTGACTTGCTTTGACCAATGAGATGTTAGTGGGTGTCTGGGAAAGCACTGTGCAGTTGGGCTTGCTTGCTCTCATGCCCCGGCTATGAAAAGAACATGCTTGGGCTACACCCCAGGGCCCAGGAGCAGGATGAGAGGCCAGTGGAGCAGAGCCAAGCATAGACAGGGGAGAGCCACCAGATGACTCACAGTCTTATGATCAAGGGCAGCCAAGAGTTATCAACTCACAGATACTATAATAATATAATAATAATAACTCAGGACCTTATGATAATGAACGGGAGTTGTTTTAAGCCATGGAGTTTGGGATGATTTGTTATGCAGCTAACTGACTGAGAAAATGTCTTCGATCTTGTAATGAATGTTTTTACAAGTGTGGGCGCTAAAGATGCAATAGTACTGAGCCACACAGACAAGGACCTTACTCTTGGGGATCTCTTGGTAGAGTGAGGATATGTAGCAGAGGAAGCCAGAATGAGGCCAAGGCCTCTGGCTGTTGCTTGGTGCCATTGATGAGGATGGAAAACACTGCTGTCTGCAAGGAGTAGTCAGGCAGTGCTAATGTGCCACAAAATAGTAATTGTGGGGGCTGGTGCCAGAATACAGTGGATAGGGTACTTGCCTTGCATGCAACCAACCTATGATCAATCCCCAACATCCCATATGGTTCCCCAAGCACCACGAGGAGTAATTTCTGAGTGCAGAGCCAGGAGTAACCCCTGAGTACTACTGGTTGTGGCCCAAAACAAAGTAATTGGAGGGTCTGGAAGATAGCTTACCAGGCAGAAACATGTGATTTGCATGTGCTGAGACCCCAATTCAAACCCTGGCACTGCTTGGCCCTAGGGACCTCCGAGCACTGCTGATGTGACCATGGTGGTGCCCAGCATTTCAGGATCCCAGCAGCATGGCATCTTTGGGCCTCTCATTGAACCACCCAACTGGTTGACCAAGTATCAATGGGAGTCGCTCCCAAAATAAAGCAATAGTAATTATGGGGCCAGAGAGATAGTTCAGGGGTTAAGGTATTTGCCATGCATGGAGCTGATCCCAGTTTGATCCTGGGTACTGTGTAGCACCCCTGGGAACTTCCAGAAGGGACTCCTGAGGGCAGAGCCAGGAGAGACCCCTGCAAATGAAGCCAGAAATAGCCCATGAGCACTGCCAGGTGAAAACCCAAAGCCCCCCTTAAAAATACACCATGAAACAAGAAAAAATAAAACCAAATGTCAGGATAAAAAGGCAATTAGGATGATATTGGCTAAAGAACCCAGTGAGGGGCTGGAATGATAGCACAGCAGGTAGGGCTTTTGCCTTGCACGCGGCCAACCCAAGTTCCATTCCCAGCATCCCATATGGTCCCCTGAGCACCGCCAGGAATAATTCCTGAGTGCATGAGCCAGGAATAAACCCTGAGCACCACTGGGTGTGACCCAAAAAGAAAAAAAAGAGACCAACGAGAGGTTCATATAGTCTGATGGAGGGCAAGGGGAAAGCAGAGAGGTCTGTAGGTTCAGCCAGTCTTTGGAGAAGCAAAACAGGTCCTTATAGACTGGTGGGTTAAGTTATCTGAGAGGAAAGGAAAAGGAGTAGGAAGTTGGGGAGGACTCTCCTACTTCAGTCCACTGGCTTCCTCTCAACATTGAAATTGAACACCAAAACCCCACTTAATGGAGCAGTTAAAGACAAATGTGACCACAAGCTGTTACTACTTGTCACCCATTAGGATAACCATCATCAAAAAGGTGGAAAATAACAAGTGTTGGCAAGGATGTGGAGAAATTAGAACCTTTGGCATATTGCTCGTGAGAAAGTAAAAATGATCCTGCCATTGTAAACTGCAAGGCTGTTCCTTAAAAAATTAAAATTGAATTACCATATGCTTGAGCAATTTTCATTTCTGGGCATATACCCCAAAGATTTAAAAGAGGGTCTCATCTGGATATTATCATGCTGAGAGAAGTTCATCAGGAGGGGAAATAGTACATAATGATCTCCCTCCTATGTGCTATAGAAAGAAACATAGTAAGGAAACAACAAATACCCAAATGCAACAGAAACTGAGAACTGGTTTTTCGTAGGAAGCATATCACTGGCATAGAGGGGATAGGACAGGGTGGAGGTGGGTAGGGATGACACTGGGACACTGGTCGAGGGTGTGGTTTCAAAATGTTTTATGCACAAAGCCCTGCCATTATCAATATTGTAAATCACGGTTCCAGAAATTAAAAAAAAATTCTCAAATGAAAGAAAGAATTTGAGGGCTGGAGAGATAGTAGTGGGAAGAGGACTTGCCTTGCATATAGCTGACCCACTTCAATGCCCAGCACCCTAAATGGTCCTCTGAGCCCTGCCAGGAATAATCCCCTAACTCAGAGCCTGGAGTATGCTCTGAGTACTGGTAGGTGTGGCCAAAAATCCAGAAAAAAAAATGAATTTCAAAATGTGAAATAAAAGGAAGTCTCAGATATCTGTATACTCATCTTTGTAGCTGTATTAATTCACACTAGTCAGAAGACAGAAGCAACCTATGAATGAATAAATGGATGAGCCCAATATGATATCACTAGACAGACCAAATTAGGACATTGTTCAGTACTAAAAAGGGAAGGAAATTCTGGCATATGCCAGATGGGTCTTGAGGTCATTATACTAAGTAAGGAAGTCACAAGAGAACGTACCTCATTTATTTATTTTTTGCTTTTTGGATCACACCTGGCGATGCTCAGGGGTTACTCCTGGTTCTGCACTCAGGAATCACTCCTGGCAGTGCTCAGGGGACATAGGGGATGCTGGGAATCGAAGCTGGGTCGGCCACATGCAAGGCAAATGCCCTACCAGCTGTGCTATCACTCCAGCCAAAGAGGACGTACCTCATTTAAATGGGGTACCTAGTCAAATGCATAGAGACAAAATGCTGGAGGACAGTTGTCATGGTCTTAAGTAGCAGATGGAGAGTGAGAGCACAGGTTCCCTTTGGCAAGATGGAAGAGTTTTGAGGTGGATGGTGGTGATGGTTACACAACAGTGTGACTGTATCAAATGCCACCTACAAATGCTGACCAATATGATCAAAATGGTAAATGTTATGCTATCTGTCTATGTTAGCACATACATAGAAGCCAGGATGTGGTGAGTTGTTTAGAAAGATCTCAGAAGTATGCGATGTGGAAGTATTAAGATATGGGGGGGGAGAGATGGGGATCCCCATGGATGAGCAGCTAGAGGCCTGGAAATACGGGCCACTGATGACCAGGCAGAACAGACATCTCTTTCATGCCTCAGAGAAGTTCTTGCAGGGGGCTAGTAAACACCTCCTTCCAACTAGGATTCACGGAGGGCACTGAGCCTGTCCCCTTGCTTTGATTTCTCGGGCAAAGCGTGCTGAGAAGTCATGGACCTGGAACGACGGCCACTAGATCAAGAGACCGTTTGGGAGATTGAATCGAGAGGCACTTTCCCGGCTCCCTTCCTGCCCGCTGCCAATAGCGGCTGGGGCTGGGCCGTTGGCGAGTGTCCTCCGCACCCTGGGCCCCCTCCCCCTGCAGCCCTGACCCCATCCCCCCCTTTTCCCATCTCACCCATCTCCTCTGTGCCCGCAGCAGCCAGCCCGCGCCCGCACCATGGCCTCGGCCGAGCCCCTGACCGCCCTGTCCCGCTGGTACCTGTACGCCATCCACGGCTACTTCTGCGAGGTGATGTTCACGGCCGCCTGGGAGTTCGTGGTGAACTTGAACTGGAAGTTCCCCGGGGTGACGAGCGTGTGGGCGCTCTTCATCTACGGCACGTCCATCCTCATCGTGGAGCGCATGTACCTGCGCCTGCGTGGCCGCTGCCCGCTGCTGCTGCGCTGCCTCATCTACACGCTCTGGACCTACCTGTGGGAGTTCACCACCGGCTTCATCCTGCGCCAGTTCAACGCCTGCCCCTGGGACTACTCCCAGTTCGACTTCGACTTCATGGGGCTCATCACCCTGGAGTACGCCGTGCCCTGGTTCTGCGGGGCGCTCATCATGGAGCAGTTCATCATCCGCAACACCCTCCGTCTCCGCTTCGACAAGGACGCTGAGCCCGGGGAGCCGGGCGGCGCGCTGGCCCTGGCCAACGGCCACGTCAAGACTGACTGAGCGGGTGGGGGAGGGGGTGGGGCCGGAGTTTTTCCCCCCACTGGACCCGTGGGCCAAGGTACCAAGTTGGTGGCGCTGCCTCTTCTGTACAGCACAAGCCCTGCCTAGCCTCTCTGCCCAGTAGAAGAATCCATGCGGCTCCCCCTCCCGTGGCCCCACCGAGCAAGCGAGCGAGCGTGGGATTGGGGGTGGGGGTGGGGGATTGGTCTGCTGCTGCCGTGCGGGGGAGGGGGGCGTTGCGGAGGGATTGTGGGATGGGTGCTCCCGGGGCCCAGGTCCTGTGGTGATGAAAGACTCCCAGGCCGGGGGCAGAAGGACGGGGCTGCAGAGCTGCTGCTGTCCGGCCCACCCTCTTCCCTCTTATCTGGTTTAGCTGGGCTTTGGCTGGCTCCATTAGGCAATATTCAGGTGCTTGCTTGCAACCAATACCTCCCCAGGGGCCTGCTGAGCTGCAGCCTAAGGAGAGAGGGGGCAGCCAGGAAGCTGCTTGGCTCTGGTGTGGGCTGGAAGGGCTGGACTCCTTCCCCTGGCCTCTCTCCCCATTCCCCAGGGCCCTGAGCTAGCTGCTCCTTTGGCCTGCTGGGCCCCCCCACCCTTGACCCCTGGTGCTGGTTTCCCACCAATCTTGGGCTTTTGGAGGTTTTCACCCCTGTGTGTTCTGTGGTGTACCCCTACCCCCACCTCACTTTCCACCCCCACCCCCGCTCTTTTCTCTCTTATTTTTCAAGGCCTTTACCACTAGCGGCCCCTTTGTCCGTGTCACATACCCTCCCACTCTGGTCCTCATGCCCAGCTCCCAGCCAGCACAGCGGCTGCCAGAGATAGAAGCCTGAGACACGCAGCGCCGCCCCCCCCCCCAAAAAAAAATATCTGCGGCCTTCTTGCAGCTTGCCCTCCACTGTTTCTGGGGTTCTGGGGATAGGAAGCTCCCCGCCATCCCTCCCACTCCACTGCTGGGCAATGGAGGTGTCCCTGGTGCTCTTCTCCATGTTCCCTCCCCATAGTGGCCCAGCTGGTAGCCCCCACCAAGGGTGTGTTCAAGCCCCCCAGGGCCCTCTGGATCCACCATGGGGACCTAGCATCAGATCACTTCTGGGGAGGGGGGGAGTCACCCGCCTCGTTTGTTTTCAGGCCAAATGAGGGACAGTGCAACTTTTGAAGGGATGGAGCCCCATGGGGAATGACTGAGGAGGCCTCTGGAACATCCTGAGTAGAAAGGTTCTTGGTTTTGCTCTAGCCCCAACCCTGCAGCAAAACCTCCTCAGGGTTAACCCCTCCCCAGTTTCCCCGGCCCCCTGGCAAGGCTGACCCTCTGGGCACCCCTTCAACAGTATTAACCCTGCCACGTTCATGGGCATTGTCATGTTGGTTACCCTTTCCCCCATGACAGGTTTATTGCTGGCAGTGGACATCGGGGACCCTCACTCCGGCCCTCCACCCGCCCTCTTCCCTGCTCTCCCTAGGGCAGGGTTCCTCAGAAGGGAGCCTGGCCCGGCTCCTCAACTCTTTGGACCACACTAGGACTCCTAGGTAGCATTTAGTCTTTCCTTTGTATCAGTCTTTCAAATGTGAAGATGCCGCCTGAGGAGACAGTCTCCTCTCTCTCGCTGTGCTGCTCCACCTAGACCCATGCAGGGGAAGTCAGTCAGGACCCAGGGTGGCTGCGTGCCCGATGGGAGAAGGGTGGGAGTGGCTGCTTTTGGCAGGGGGTCTCCATGGTTGTCCCTTTCCTGGTTCGGATGAATAAGGACACCACAGGAGCCAATCCTTCCTTTCTTGACTCTTATTGTGATCCCAATTCTAGGAGCTTGGGGCTTCCTGGAACTAGGGCTTCTCGGGGGATCAGATTGCTTCCTCTCTCTTAGTGGTCGGCTGTCCAGAGGGAGAATATGTTCCATGCTTCCTGATTGCCTCTTGGGAGGATTGTTCCTTGTTTTCTCCTCCCGAATCAATGCTAATTGTAGGTCCTGGGTCCCAACACCTCTCTGTTTCCCAGGAGGCCCCTAGAGCACCTGGCCCCATTTGCTCTCCCTTTTCATGAACTGGGTCTATTGGTTAGCTTGCCACTGTGCCCAGCGTATGAGGCCTCCCAGCTGATTCTCAGCAGAGCCTGCCCTTCAGTGCCCTTCGGGTCTGGCTGCACACGCTGGCACCCTCGTCTCCCTGGGCCTTTTTGATTCCCAAGTGTGGGCGGTGCTGGAGCAAACCTGCCCCACTGAAAACATGCAGAACACTGTGTTTCTGCTTCATCCAGGAGCCCGCTAGCTCCAGGGTGTAGAGCCCCCCAGAAAGGGGAGGTGATGACCCAGGGCTGGAACACAGGATCCTCAGGCTCAGAGCTCCCTGGGGTAGCCCAGACTTCAGTCTTGCTTTTTGGGCTGGCTTCAGGGTCCCTGTCCCTCCCTGCCCAGGCACTCCAGAGTCTGGAGGAATCCCAGCCCTGCCGAGCAGGGGGAGTGCTGGTGGGGAGAGTTGCTCCCTGTTGATGAACCAACAGCCTCTCCACCACCGCGCACACGGCAGCAGCTCTGCGATCCGGAGGGCCGAGTGCTGCCCTGCATGGTCCATTAGCTTCCGATGTCTGCTAGTCACCCCTCCCACGTGGCCTGTCCCCTCTGATGGCAGAGAGCCACAATGGCCTATGCTTCTTCACAGCAATAATACTTTGGGAGTACCCTCAAGTCCTTTTGTCCTGGTTCTTCACTCTGGGCTTCCTGTGGGGGGGCAGTGCCGTGTGGGAGCCATGAAGACAACCCGTTTTCCTGCAGCTCCCGGCTGTGCAGATGTGGCTGCAGGGAAAGCAGAGAGGAGAGAAGCCCGGCTCTGGGCGAAAACAGGAGAGGCTCCTCTGAGCAGAGGCTGCCCCAGACCTAGAGGCGCTGTGGGTTGGGGTCCTGTCTTTGAAGTGGGTGGCTGTCTTGAGACTGTGGCAGCTCGTGGGGGGGTTGGAGGTGCAACACCACGGCGGGGGTGTGCGCCATTGCCTGCTCTGTCTCCGTTGATCTCTGTCTCTTCCTTTTCACATTTGTGCACATAAAATATACTGTGTTTGTGTTCCAGGACTGACTCCGACCTGTCTGCTTTTATTTGGGGGGAGGGGGGCTTTACTTGAGCTTTCTCAGTCACACCCTGACCAAGGCTACCCTAAGCCAAGCAGGCTGCTGCTGGGGTGTGGAGTGGGGGCACTGTGCGGGGAGGGCACAAGGCATTCTTTGCCATTTCTTGCCAATCCCTGCTCTGACCCTCTCTGGTAACCTAAATCCCAACCCCCAGCCCCCATCTGGAGCACCTCTTGGTTCATGCTGCCAGGTTGGTGCTTCTTCTGGCTGTACCTGGGCTGTTTGCAGCTGAGCCGACTGTCCCTGGGAGGTGAGCTTCTACAAGCACATCAACTCGAACTATGAGGTGCTTCGTGGAGTGGGAAGGCCTGAGGGAGGAGGCAGAACATACCTCAGAGAGCTGGAACTACAGAACCCTTTACTTGCTGTTATATCAAAAGTTCATATGCTCCCGCTCCCTTTCCCTCTCTCTCTTTCTCTCCTCCCTTTCACTCTCCATCCTCCTCCTCTCTCTTTCTCCCTCCCTTTCTTTTTCCCTCTCCCTCTACTCCACTTTCCCAGAGATATGCATTGGGCGGGAGGAATCCCTTCCCACTTCATTTACCTTGGCTCTGTTGAGTGTTCCCAGTCCTCCCACTATTCTCTGCCCCTTTGCCTATTTCCAGAAAGAAACTGGGATGTTCAGAAGTTGGTCAGTTTGTTCAACTGAATCCAAGTAGCCTGGCACCCCCGGCCACCAGGGGATAGAAAAGGCAAGTGAAACTTTCTGGAATCATCAGGAAGGTTCTCTACTGCTTCCCTCACTCCCTTGAAAGCATTAGTGTCTTTGAAAGCCTTCCCCCTTATAAAAATGGGATAGCATAAAGTTCAACATTCTTCTTGCTATGTGTTTATATACACATCTACATGTATACACACATGTTAGTATAAGTATCAAGTTCCCCTCAAACATACACACCAGGCTGTGCGTAGGACTTTCCCTGGCTCTGAGCTCAGGGATAACTCCTGCTAGAGCTCAGGAGACCATATGTGGTACCAGGATGCCAGGGAATAAACCAGGGTCAGCTGTGTGCAAGGCAAATCCCTTACCTGCTTTACTAATTCTCCAGTAGTAGGTTTTATAGGAAGAAAAGGGCAAAATTAGTAAAGCAGACTGTCTCCATGGAGCCTCTACAAGCATGTCAGCTTGAAGCAGGGATGCAGCAAGAGGCAGGGCCCAGAACAAGAAAACCAAGGGGCCCCCAAGTCCCTTATTAGCTCTTCTGTGCCTTCCTTCCTTGTTACTCTTTTTCCTCACCAACTCTGCTTCACCCCCATCCAGGGGAAAGAGTTTGTCTCTTGCATTGAGAGGAGCATGATGCCAAGCACCATGCCAAATAAGAGCTTTGGCTGCATCTTCTGAAATATTTCCAGTCTCTGCAAAGTGCCAGCTTCTTAATTAATCACAGGGACTGAGTGACCATAAGTTTCCCTGGTCTCCCCAGCGTTCTATCTTGGAGAGTGCATTGTCTACACACCCCTAGTTGCACTGAGGGATTGGGGCCTGTCTGTGTCTGGAGGGCAGAGAAGCAGGTATAAGAAAAGGGAGCAATTGTGACTTCACAGCATAGGATAGAGGAGTTGGTCTTCATTTCATCAAGAGCTCTGGTTCCTGTCGCTGGGACGATAGTACAGCGGGTAGGGCATTTGCCTTGAACACAGCCAACCCGGGTTCAGTTCCCAGCATCCCATATGGTCCCCCAAGCACCGCCAGGAATAATTCCTGAGTACATGAGCCAGGAGTAACCCCTGAGCATCGTCGGTGTGACCCAAAAAGCAAAAAAAGAAAAAAAATCTCTGGTTCCTTGGTTCCTGCAGGTGTTGCTTGCCCTTCCCCCCAATACTTTGGACATTGTCACCGATATTTTCCTATTTTACTGAGGAGATCTAGTTACAAGCAGTCTGCAACCTTGGTTTACTGCCTTTCTATGTAGATCACTCTTGTGAACAGGAGAACTTGGGGGAGGACTTGTGATGACCCTGGCACCCTTTGGTACTTGCGTACCAAACTCTGGATAGAGTTCTTGCCATCCAAATGCTCCTTGCAGTGAT